CTTCCATCTGCAGATCCCAAGGTGCTGGGCCAGCAGTAGCCGGGGCACCATTCCATCTGGGCGGATGGAAACACTGAGGCACAGAGCTGCTCCGGGAGATCTGCAAGGTCACCCGGCGCACCAAGGTCACCAGGCGCATCACCTCAGAATGGACGCCATGTGGTCCCACCTGTGAGCTGACCGATTTGGGGAGTCTGGTTCCCCAACACCACTCTCTCTCCTCCCCAGTCTCTGATCATTTCGCAGAGGTTTTCAAATTCCCCAACGGCTTTCCAAGTGATTTGGTTTAATTTAGAAAACAAATTTAGGACAAAGGATTTTTGAAGTGGGGGTGTTTGTTTTCGAGGGATGTGGCCAAATCAAACCAAAGCAACTTCTTTCTACTCCACATCCTCAGGCTTCTAAGATGGGGGCCCAAACTGCAGCGCTGCGCCTGGCCCTCCGAGCCATGCAGTCCAGACGCGACCTGCCTTCAGAACTCCCTACCAGGCTCTCCAGGAAAAGGCACCCCTCCTGACCTCTTGACGAAGTTCCCTCTGCATGCAAGAATGTGAGCAAGGCATGGGCCAGACTGTGAGAACACCTGCCGGGGATCAGAGCCCGGTGACCAGGTGCCTTCGGCAGGGACCGCCCGGCTCCCCACGTCTCAGGGGCAAATGACTTGTCTCAGCGTTTCAAGTCCACAGTCTTTGAAACCCTGTTAAGTTCCGAAGTGAGTAAGTTGGTGCCTGAGGGTTCTCTGAGGCCCTTGGAGGTCATCATTACATTAATACAGGGGTCCTCAAACTACGGCCCGCGGGCCACATGCAAATACAAATATTGTATTTGTTCCCGTTTTGTTTTTTCACTTCAAAATAAGATATGTGCAGTGTGCATAGGAATTTGTTCATAGTTTTTTTTTTAAACTATAGTCCGGCCCTCCAACGGTCTGAGGGACAGTGAACTGGACCCTGTTTAAAAAGTTTGAGGACCGCTGCACTAATATGTCAAGTGTAGGGCGGGCATTTCTGCCACTCACCAGGGGGCCATTCTAAACACTCTCGGACCCAAACCTTTCCTCACCCTCCCATCCTCAGTGTGGTCATCAGGATCTATTTAACCCCCTTGGCTTTCTCTTGTAGCTAGAACTTCTTCGAAATACATCAGAATAGCCCAGCAGCTCTGTGACCAAGAGGAAGGTACCCAGAGCTGTGTCAACAGGGGAGCTGCCCACATTTACCGAATAAGGGAGGCCTGGAGCCCGGGGCTTTTGCTTAGACATATACGGGCAACGGCCGCTGTCCCCCTGTCCTGACACTGGTCCTGGTCTCATTACCTCCAGCGCAGACTCTGAACTGGCATCTCCAAGGTGAGCAGGAGCTCAGCCAAGGCCTCCTGCCTTCCAGCACCTCCCTCTCTCTCCACGCCTCTCCCTGGCTGTATGTGTGCGCCACTGCGCCTGTAATTATAGACACACCCGCGAACCGTCCACTGTTGTATTTACAACACTCTGCCGATGTTTGGGGTGTTATTAATACAGCTGGGGAAACCAAAAGCAGCCGTTTTCTGCTTGTGGTTTCTGAGGAAATCTATGGGAAGCAATTTGTGTAATCTAAGGGAGCACATGGGCTGGGTATGGGCTCCAGCAGGCGGCCGAGCTCCGAGCCTTGTGGTTACGCCATAAATGTGCATAAGGAGGACCCGCCCTGTAGGAAAATCATAGGTTCCATGTTTATGGCATGTGGGACGGAGAAGGACTGGGGAATGTGCTGTGCATATGGCTGCATAACTGTGCCACGTATTGAAGGGGGATGCTCGCCCTCCCCACGGCTACAATGTCATGCCTTTCTCTCAGGCAACCTCACCACTACCTGCTGGATGGAAAGCGACGAAGAAGAGGCTGCTCTGGGCTGGGGGAGGCTGGAAAAGAGTCCTTGAGTTTCCTCACTTCCTTCCCCCACAGGCCCAGTCCTCGCCTTAGCCCAGCCTGGGTCTAATTTTTAAACAGTGTTTTGCAAGGAAATAGCATGGCCATCCCCCATCACCTTGAGGCTCATTAATCTTGTTTTTCTCCAGTTTCCCCAATTCCCTGGTCTTTGGTCCATTGTATTGGTGTGCAGGGGATAAAATCAGGTTCCCACATTTCTACCCCAAACACCACCCACCTCCCCCTTCACACCCGGTGCACTGGTCTGCATCTGCGAGCCCTCCCCCTGCCCGCAGAGCAGAGCCGGCTGCCGCCTCCATCTCGGCGACGCTTTGCTCACAAGTCCTGCTGTCTGAATTTGGCTTTCCAGCTACTACTTAGCACAGTGAGCTTGGCACGGCGCCCACCATCCAGCAGCTACAAAGAAAGGCTCAGCGTAGCGCCCTGCATAGCCGAAGCCGCTCCCTCCACTGCCCCCAAGTCCCCTCCTCACCCCGCCTCCCTGTCGTGGCATCAAATCAGACTGCAGCAGACTTGACAAATCTATTTGGCATGGTCCCCTCAGCGATTTCACCCCGCACAGCCCAGAGAGCCGTGAGGCTCCTGAACGGTATAGAATCTGCACGTTAAATACCACCGTCTGGGAGGTGGGTCTGCTAATGAAGGAGCAGGGAGATCACCCGTGGAGGGGAGGGCCCTGTCGCCTGCCACACCTCAGGGGTGAGGGGGCGTGAGGGAGGAGGCAATGTCCAATTGGCAGGCTTTGCATCCTCCCGCTTCCTTGTAGGCACCAAGAGGATGAATTTCTAAGGGAGACGGACATGCTACTCCTCTGCCCCAGTGCCTTTATGGGGGCAGGACTGACTCACTAAAAAACAGACAATAACAAAACAAAAACAAATTATCCCTTGGCTACTGGGGGGAAATTTTACAATTAGTTTCAGAGATGGGACTTGAATTGCTTTCCCAAGTCAACCAAATAAAATGCTCATTCAATTAGTGTTTTATCCTCTAGGGAAGGAGGAGGAGGAGGAGGAGGAGGAGGAGGGACACAGAGAGGGGGAGATCCAATATGAAAAAGTTGAGGAGAATGATTCTAAAGGCGCCCAGAAAGCAAAATTCAATTCACAGGAACATCTCCCCTGCAGCACGAATACCAGGGATAAAGCCAGGGAGGACAGCATTCTATCAAAATGTGCAGCGCTAAGGTATTTCCAAAAGCAGCGTCCCTACAAATGGTGTTTTAAATAGCATCCGGTCCATCTGCATGCTCTTAAAATCAGCTTATGCTACAGGATCCCTCTGGCCCGCACTGCTTAGTCACTGAGCCTGGACAGGGTGGCGGTCAGGTGAGCCTCCTCCTCCACTCCCCCC